GGGGGAGCTGCGTTGGGGGGGGGGGGAATCAGTGAAAAGTCTACAGTAGGTACCAGCAGTTGGCTTAATGACTATGCTGCTGGACTTCCCTGTAGCCGACCATGGTTCGAGTCCGGGACTCAGTGGCTTAAACTCATGCTGGGCACGTGTGCGTGAGTGCCCAAGATCTCCAGAGGAGAATGGAGGACAAGGGGTTGTGGTGTGGCCATCCCTCCTGGGGGGCGGGGTGATTCCTCACTCTTTGTCTCTGTCTTTCTGGTGCGTGCACTCGCCTTATAGCATAAATCTCTAAAAAAAAAAAAAAAAAGTCTGCAGTAAAGGGAAAAAAATGCCTAGTGGTAATTTTCTGTTGCTGGTTGTGGGTTAGTTGACTTTAGAGAACACATATAATTTGTTTTAATTCTCTGCATCAAAGCGGAAAGTTAACAGTTACAAAAAAATAAAAAACAGAAAAACTGATAAAAATTTCCTGGAAGAAACCAGAAGAAGACGGTTTTAAAAGGAAGAAAAACAAAAAGGAAATAATGTATAACAATCCTAGCAAAAAAAAGAAAGTAGACTGACATATTGTACTGCTTTATCTTTACCTTTTTTGTACATTTATTTATTTTTCCCGTTAAAATGCTTGAATGGGGGGAGGCGGAGTCAAAAGCTTCAGGCAGTGATACATGGAAATAATCCTGCTGTCTTGTCAAGGTAGCTTTTTTCTACTCCCTCAAGTACAAGCAGATTTCAATAGGAACAGAATATTATTCCTCCAGAAAACTATAATTTAGCCTCTCTCATTTTAGGGTGCTAAAACCTGGGGAATCCAGGGCTTAGAAATTAGATTTAAGTATCAGTTTCTACTCCTAGTCTGAAGTACAATGAATCATGGTTAGTCTCGAGTTCCAGCCTCAGTTTTAAAGTACACACACTGCTATCAATATTGGCAATTTTTAAGAGAAGATATTCTATCTTCTTTGAGCATCGTAAGAAGAAATGGTCACAGATTATTACTCAGAATGTTGTAAGTTCCATGTTACCAGAATGAGAACAGGCCCACATTACCAAATTACTGTTCATAAAAAATAGACTGAAGTCGGAAGGAGTTCGGATTTCTGAGGTACTTGTGCACTAAGGCTGATTTATAAGGAACAAGAGTTATAATATTTGTTGTAATCTGCCTGAAGAGTGCCCTTTAAACACTCCAAGAAGCTCTTTATGATTTCCCTAATAGTTCTTGGCCATTTTCTACATATGGAGGTTTAGGAGGCTACTTTTCTAGGAACGGAAGCTCGTTATCTGAGCAGGAAGATTTCTAGGTTTAACCTTTGCAATCCATTCCTGGATCCTTATGGCTTTGTGTTTTCAGTTTTATACCTGACAGGTCTGAGGACTCTGAGTTTTCTCTGACTCAGTTGAAAACAAACCGTTACTGCGATTTTAGTGCGGGAACCTGAAAGAAGGAAGTTTCTTTTTGTCCAGCCTCTTCTAGCTTGCCTCCAGAGGCTGAATCCAGTTGTATCATTCCAGGATGACTATTGTCGAACCTGTTTTAAAGGGAATATGTTGGGATGAGAGTAGTATTCTTCTATTTTCTCTGTGTATTTTACGATGGTAGATGGAGGAGCAAAGGGGAGGAACTATTCTTTGCCTCTGTTGTACTACAGACATGAGGAAGAAGCAGGTTTTAGTTAAATTAAGAACTATATAGGAAAACATTTATCATTGAAGTTTTTGTTAAATAAGCGTTTGTCTTTATTTTTCATATAATAGGAAGACTCCTTGAGTTTGTCATTTCTCTTTTAATCACTCTGAAATTGCAGCTTCTCTATACCTATTCTTCTCTGGGTGTGACGTTTAGAAAATTTTAAGCTACTTCATTATGTGTAGAGAAATGAGAATAATTTTCTAAAGAAACTATGCTTTAAAAACCTAATAGCCAGCGGGGTGGGGGGGGAGTGATTAAGGACTCTGGACTCCTACATGGTCAACCACGGTTCAAATCCCAGACCCGGCGGCTTGCTTTCTCACTTTCTCTCTCTCTCACTCTCCCTCTCTGGTCAAAACAAAATAAATAAATAAGTAAATAAAGTTAAATAAAATAATTCTTAAAAAAAAAACCCTAATAACCAATTTCATGTCATTTGAATTTAAGAACTATCTAAAACATGATATAGAGAAGAATCTGTTTCTAACACCTTTGTCTTTTAGAACTGAAACAGTGATGATAGCATTGAGAAAACAGATTGGAGGCTGGCCCTGTAGTGCAGTGGTTAAGTGCTGCACATTGGTAGCTAGATTCCACATGGCCAACTGTGGTTTGAATTTATCCCTGGCAGCTTGAAAAACATGCCAGACACATGTGCATGTGTACTTAAAATCCTGATGGGATGGAGAAATGGAGGAAAAGGGATATTGGTGTGAACACACCCCATTAGGCGGTGCTTTCCTTCCTCTCTCTGTCTCTTTAATGAGTGAATGTGCCCTTTGGCATTTAAAAAAGAAGTTAAACAAAAAAGTTTTATTGAGAATTTTTGTTTGCTTTTCTGAGAAAGATACATACCTATTGGTATCTTTGAAGTGAGAAAGTAAAATAGAGTGGAGAGAATTAGGATGATTGAGAAGTCTATAGGTGACTCTAACAAAGACTGAGGCATAAATAGATAAGAATGAAGTTGTCCGATTCAGTGATCCTTCTCTTTCTCTCTTTCTCTGTGTCACAGTTTTGGTCTCTCTCTCCATCTCTCATGGATGGTGTGGAAATGAAATTCATCAAGAATATCATATTATTCTTAGTAAATGATGTCCCCACAGTGTTCCTAAATCCTCTGGTATAGAAGCACATTTACAAACAGACAATTTAGTCATAAGGGATATCTTCACTCCTATGGTCTTTCATATATGTGAGTAGTGTAACTTGCAATACTGGGGATTTTTCCTTTAGCTTACTTATGAAATCTAAAATGTCTTGCACATTTTTTTATAATGTGTCTAATATGTAGACTACATCTCAGTGAATTGAAAACATGCAAGAGTGGAACTCTCCTTGATATTTTATTTAATACAGACTAAAGCAAAAAATTAATTCAGTAAATCTGCTCATTTCTTCAGCCAACTAGGACATACTTTGTGTATTATGATTAAGTCATTCCAATAAGTTTCCTTTTGGTCAGTTAAAACATCTGTGTTAAATACTTCCCAATTTTTATACTTGACTAATTTTCATATTTTTATATATTTTATCTCTCATATTTCAAAGACACTTGTGTCATCTTTCTTTCTGAAAAAAATATTTGTGTGTTTATTGTAAAAAAATATATACATACCCTAGACTTTTTGACTTTGCAAAAAATCCCCTAGGGTAAAACAAAGACAGTAAAAGAAAGGTAACACAGATTTAGCCACTAATTTTGAGATCATTAGGAAGAGGTATAAAGCAAATTTAGGCAGATCAAATAATTTTTTCACATAAGAAAATGTATTGGTGAGAGCTCTCTATAGGAAAGGAATTATATATATATGTATATATATGTGTGTGTGTGTATATATATATATGTATACACACACATATACATATATATATATATACACATATATATGTACACACACACACATGAATTTTATTGTAAAAATCATCTGAGACAATCACAGGCAGAGAAGTTTCACAATAGGCTCTCTACAAGCTGGAGAAAGAGCTGGAAGACTCAGAAGATGGGAAGTTGTTACAACTCCAAGTCTGAGGCCAAAGGCCCAAGTGTCCTCAGAGAGCAGAGGCCCAAGTACCCTTGCACAGCCACTGGTATGAATCCAGAATCCAAAAGTTAAAGAACTTATGGTCTGTCCAACTGGACAGGCATGGTGGCCAAACACTGACAAGAACTGAATGCAAGCAAGGCCTGAATCACAGAGCAGGTATGGAGCAGGCAAGAGTGCAGGCAGTAGGAGTGGGACACAAAAAATGCCCTAGAAAGAAGTTCCACAAATAGGAAGCAGAATCTCTCATTTCCTCTATTGCTTCCTACCATGCCACCAGGTGATTGGATGGTGTCCACTCACATTGATGGCAGGGTCTTCTTTTCTCAATTCACTGACTCAAACAACAACCTTATCTGGGGACACTCTTATAGATTCATTCAAGAACAATGCTTCATCAACCATTCAGGCATACATCGATTTAGTCAAATTTACACCCAGAATGAACCATCACAACTTATATGTGTTTTTATAAACCATACTTAATATCCAGATGAAATAACAAGATCATAATTCCACCTAAGATAATACAATTATACAATACACAATTGAAAAAGTGCTAATCCCATAACTTAGATACTATAATGTAAAATTAATCTTGTTGATAAAAAGCCAGTCCATCTTATTTTACATAATAAAGCAATAACAGAAGAATAACAGAAGAAAGCAAAGTATATTTGGCTAATACATGTGTATTTATAAACAAATACATTCTTTTTTAAAAAAAGTTTTTACTGCAGGGTGCATGTGCTCACTAGAGAGAGACAGAGACATTAAGAGA